TCCGAGCTTCGTAGGGGTAGTTTATGATATTACCATTCTACAGGTGAGCCTCTCGGTCTGGAGGGCATGCCCCAGAGTCCAGGTGAACTCCTGATGGGGATTAGAATACATGACCAACAGTTGAAAAGAGTATCTGAATGTGAAAAAAAGTCAGATAACTGATGATCCCGGAATAGCTTGAATATTCCAAAAGCTTCTATCAGTAAACTGTACATACTGTGCAGTTTGCTTGTTCTGTGTTTTGGCTGCCTCACAGCTGTCTTGACACTGCTGTGTGCTTGAGTTTAGGGAAACTTGATTTATGGTGAAAAGCCGGATGGAGGGTGGCTGGGAATCCTGCTTGTCTTTTTTCTAAATTTTCAGTCAGATCACTTGCTTGATTTCTCTCCCAGTTTCCTAAGAAGGAAACCGCTTTTATATTTGAGCCCTCATTGTTAGGCTTGGGTGCTCAGGCATATTAGACGTTGAGAAAGGTCTGGAGCATGTTTAAGCATCACCAATTGATCACGTGATCAAGAAATTCAGGAATCCCCTCCCCTGTGGATGCTGGGGTGGGACTAGGTGCAAAATTAATTCACCGCCTCCGAAGTTTATTATACCTAGATACGGCTGTCCTGGCATTGATGGAATGGCCGGCCCACTTCTTTCTTTAAGGACGTGTTTATGGTTTTAATAGTAAATAGGAAATAACATTTTTTAAATGATAGTGGTTTATTTTACATAGAAATCTCTAAAAAGATTGTAAGTTTTGGATTGTTGTCAAGTTTCTGTTCTCTAGCGTAAGGACAAAAAAGGCAAAAAGTATCCTAGTTGGTAGATAATCCCAAACTGGTTATTTGTGTGTGGGTATCTTTTGGAATAATACCTTTTTTTTTTTTTTTTTAATGTTTATTTCTAGGAGAGAGACAGACAGCATGAGCAGGGGAGGGTCAGAGAGAGAGGGAGTCACAGACTGAAACAGGCTCCAGGCTCTGAGCTGGCAGTCAACACAGAGCCCGACGCGGGGCTTGAACCCACGAACCGGGAGATCATGACCTGAGCGAAAGTCGGACGCTTAACCGACTAAGCCACCCAGGTGCCCCTGGAATAATATCTTTTTTTTAACCAAGGTAAAATTCACAGACCACATGTGGTTTTCAGATGTGCAGCATGATTCAGTATTTCTGTGTACCATGAGATGGTCACGGTAAGTGATCTCGTTTCTCTCTCACCATCTACCTTTAACAAAAAAGCTTTTGGGGTGCCTGGGTGGCTCAGTTAAGCATCCAACTTAAGCTCAAGTCATGATCTCATGGTTCATGAGTTCGAGCCTGTTTCAGATTCTCTCTCCCTCTTTCTGACCCTGCCCTGCTCATGGTGACTCTGAGAAATAAATAAGACATTAAAGATTTAAACAAAAAAACTTTGTTGTAATGAGAACTTTTAAGATGTACTCTCTTGATGCAGCTACTCTTGACCTCAGGGTTGTGAATTCCAGCCTCATGTGAGGTGCCTGTTTCTTTAGAAATAAAGTCTTAAAGATGTGCTCTCTTGGCAACTTTCTCGTACATGGTAAGTATTCTAATTGGAATTATACTTGTTGACCGCCTTTACCCATTGCCTCTGCGCCTCTGAAACCACCATGATGTGCTCTCTGAGTCTGAACTTGGGATGTTCTTGATGATGGTGGCTTTATGTGGATTCCGTGTATAAGTGAGATCACGGACTGCCTGATTTATTCCACTTAGCATGGACCTTGGGGTCTGTCTGTGTTTCGGTGCCAAGACCTCATTGTTCATGGTTGAGGGATAGCCTGCTATATGCATGGTGCATCTTTCAGCCTCTCCACCACGTAGTGAACACTTAGTTGTCTCCGTGCCTTGCCTACCACAGATAATACTGTGGCCTCGTGGAGGAGCTGCTCTCCCAGTTAGCGTGTTCATTTTCTTTGGATAAACACCCAGAAGTGACACTGCTGTGTCATCATAATTCTCTTTTTCACTTCTGAGGAATCTCCATCCTGTTTTCCAGACTGGCTGCACCAATTTAACTTTCCCACCAACAGTGCATGAGGGTTCCCTTTCCCTACATCTTTGCAGGCTCTATTTTTTGTCTTTGAGGCTAGCTGTTCTGGCAGGTGTGAGGTGACCTCACGGTTTTGATTTGCAGTTCCCTTTATTTTTGAGAGACCATGAGCCAGAGGAGGGGCAGAGAGAGGGAGAGAATCCCAATCAGGCTCTGCTGTCAGCCCGCAGGTGGCTGCAGGGCTCAATCCCACAAATGCTGGGATCACGACCTAAGCCAAATTTAAGAGTCAGACGTTCGGGGCACCCGGGTAGCTTAGTCAGTTAAGTGTCCGACTTTCGCTCAGGTCATGATCTCGCGGTTCGTGGGTTCGAGCCCCGCGTCG